TGAAATTTGAAATGATTTGAGAAGGTATGAATAATATGAGATTAAATGAGTATAAATGAACTATTTTGTGAAAATGGGCATTTTGCTCATGTATGAATTATGTGGATACATAAATGAATATTTGTGTATTGAGATTGAATACTTAAGTTGCTGCTACATAATTATAAATATGTAGAGAATTACAAATACTGAGGATAATGGTATGATAACAATAATCTTTATAGTATTGAAATACTAGTTAGTGATTATTGGAACTTGTTGATTAAATTGATCCTAGGAATTGGATTGTATGAAAGGTACTTGAATATAGTTCAAGTGTATATAATAACTTAGTATGGAACTAAGGTTAAGTTATGGGAAGTCTTTAAGAATGACCCACGGTAGTTTAATGATATGTCAATTCTAGGCATAGGGTTGCTTGAGAATTGGACCTTAATGCATGGTGATGTAATAGAGCCGAGCTCTAGAATGCATGTAAGGTGTAGACTTGGAGTCTATGTATTGTATAGCTAGAGCCGAGCTCTAGGACTTGCGTGGTGATGTGATAGAGCCGAGCTCTAGAACGCAAGGTAAGGAAATTGACCCGAGGTATATGAATTGTATGGTGATGTGGTAGAGCCGAGCTCTAGAATACAATGTCATGTACTAGGGTTGGACTCTAGGAGTTGTCGTGGCTTATAGTCACGGGGTTGGGAATGGTGATTTCCACATGAACATGGGCCCACGAGCCGACTACTTGACTTTTATATAAAGTAAGTATATTTTTAAACGGGGTAACTTAGGGTTACAATCATAATGTACTATCACCCTAATTGAGGGTCTTGTGTTTGAAATACTTGTTGTATATCTATTAGATGCCTGCCACACCAGTACTTTATAGCCGTATAGAGTACTGACCCCTTCGGGGGCGTCCCACCACCATTTCAGGTTGAGGCTAGAGCTTGCTTCCTGTGCTCGTCGCCCGAGTGATTTCCCCGGAGAGAAGACTTGGTTCGTGCTTCCTCCATCCTGTTTTAGAACATTAATAAACATGTTCATGGATATTTTACTTTAGAGCCTGCGTGCTCATGTTTGCCCTGTGTGGCCCTTTCTCTTTAAACAATGTTTTCCGCTGCGTATTGAATTGTTTATTATGTATGTTTATGGATGACTTATGTGTGAATGATATTCATGACGCCTTGTATAATATGAATGTGTTGGACTGCGGTTGACTATTCGTATTGTACGGCGGGTTGTTGACGTGTCCGGGGAGGTCCGGGGCGTGACACAGTCCCCGGCAGTTCCAACTGATGATACACATTAGGCCCGGCAGAGCTCCTCCGAGGAGCCCGCCGATGTTGCCAAGTCGGTAGTGTTTGAGTTTGTGTTTCCTCCCTTCTTTTGACGTTTAGTTTCTCTACTCGAAGATTCTGTAGTAACAATCTGCATGTCACCCTCCGCTTCGTGTTCCTTCTCTATCATACCCACTTTCTCCTCCAAATCTGGCGCCATGATAGTTGTGCCGTCCATCTGACCCTCCTCCACCTCGTGCACACCATCCTCCAGCATTAATCTCTTCTTTGCATAAGGATTTGAAATAATCTGTTGAACCTTTGATTTAGATGGGCTAGTAGCTGTGCTCTTTAGGTCATCCTCCTCTTCTCCGGGGTCTGGAATCTCTGTGTTAAGATGGCTCAAATCACGACCTCCTTTACTTTCCCGACTGCCTCTCCTGCCACGTCCAGCACTGCCATTCCACCTCGGTCCACCTTTTCGAAATTCTGGCGCAATTAATGTGTCTGGATAAACTATTGCCTCTGGTGAATGAACACCATCTCCATGTTCTTTAGTCACATGCCCTACTAGGCCACAAACACCGCAAAACACCGGCATCTTCATACATCAACCTGAAGTACCTTTTTTTCTTGTTTATGGTAGTACTTGCCACTCGCGTCAGGGGTTTACGGACATCTAGCATCACCCGCACCCGCACTCCATCACCACTTCCTTTGACAGATGCCACATCAAGTTTAATAAAGGCTCCCGCTTTACGTGCGAGTTGTGAAGCAATACTTCCTGTTCTCATTTTCTCTTGAAGATCATGAACTTGAACCCATACAGGATAGGTTTGGAGTTCAATCGTATCAATCGCAGACCAGCCATCATATTGGGCTAACAACACTGGGCATCCTCGAAAGATCCATGGCCCCTCCATCATCACCCGTTCCCAGTCCGCCAGACAATGAAATTGTATTGAGAATAGATTCTCCTTAACTGCCCTGAAGTCCACCTCTTTTGCACAGTTCCACGCAGAGCGCATGTTCCCGAAAAAACCACCGTGACTGAATGATTTTTCAGTATGAACCCTACCGAGGGCTAGCCATCTGGCCTCAGCTTCTAACTCATTCAAATCCTCTTCTAGAACTACCTCCTCTTCCTCATCATCCCGAAGATCAAGTCTGTTCAATAACGTTTCAATTCCTTCTATCTTCTCCCCTTTGATACCTGAGGTAGATCTGGATGATTTTGATTCTTCGCTTTCCATGTCCACTCGTGATATCCAACTTCCTTCACGCGTAGAGATTATTTAGCCGTGAGTAGAGTACTGGTAATCTGTGAGAACCGATCAAATCAGTAGGTATGGATAACTCCGAGGCATGCCAAGGAGGAGAGGAGACCCTATTGATGGGTACAATAATGATAATTCTGAGAAGCTTCAAACTAAAAGAAGAGAATTCCAAACTTAGAAAATTTAAGGACTCATAAATCCTCTATGAATTTTGGCGAAACCCTGAACTTAGCACATTTTTGAAAGCCTTGAGTAATGAAAAAGTTGGAAATAATCTCAAATTAATTTAGATCTGATACTTGAAACCATATTTTGTTCTAAATAATCTCAAATGATAATCTCATCTTCTCAATCATTATCTCAACAAAGATCTTCCACATTATCAAAGTAATCTCCAAATAAACTCAACAATGTAGATGCCCGAAAGGGTTAACTACGTAATTGTGATTATAATTTATATTATACTATCTATTTGAATTATCGCTAAAACTCATATATATACTTGGAAAACCATGGAACAAAATGAGAATAGTTTTTAACGAGCTAAGGCAAAATATCATAAGTTCAAAAATACAGTCTGGGTTAAACGAAGTTAAATCGTCATGTTTTTTATCATCAATCACTGGAATGTTAAGGAAAGTATTGAGAATGAAGTTCTTTGATAACTAATAACAAGCTAGGGTGGACATATAGTGCTGTTATGGAAATCGAGCTCAGCTCGAGCTCGGCTCGACTCGGCTCGATTAAACTCGGGCTCGGCTCGTATATTAGAGAAAACGAGTCGAGTTCGAACTCTTTTGTTTACTCGATAAAGTTCACGAGCCGAGCTGGCTCGACTCGATAAAACCCGATGAAGCTCGATAGGGCTCGTGAGGTGGGCATATTGTCATGGGTTTTTCGAGTATGATGATATTGTAGTTAATACATGGGTTTTTCGAGTTCGAGTTGTCGAGCTCGAGCTCGAGTAGCTTGACTCGGGTATATTAACGAGTCGAGCTCGAGTTGTAAATTACTTTAACGAGCCGAGTTCGAGCTCAAATACAGGATCGAAATTTAACGAGCCGAGCTCGAGCCAGGCTCGAAATTTGAGCGAGTCGAGTTCGAATGTGTGATACTCGGGCTCGGCTCGGCTCGAATAACAGCACTGTGGACATATGATCTGGTGAACAAATTTAAAGAGCGCAGAATTTAATAAAATGACACCAATCGAAACTGAATTAGGATGTTTTCTTTTGGACTGTTTCCAGTCCAAAATCAGACTAGACCAGACCAGATCAAATCAGACCAAACTTCCATAGTTATAAAATACAAAGAGACCAAACGTTTACCAGACCAGATCAGACAAGACCAGCAAATTTCAATCCAAAAGAAAACATCTTTGATCAAAACTAAACCGGATAAAAAGTAGACCAATACTCATCATATCACATCATAGTCGACGTGATTGTTGGTTCCAGTCCTATGCTAAAAATAAATCAACCCGATTAATACAAGTCAAAATAAGCTAAAAGTGACCTAACTTTTACGGACTTACTGTATGCCACATAAGAACCAGTTATATATGGGTGTTTGGAATGGGTCGATTATGCTTTTGTTTTTTAATTAAAAGAGAGGTAGAATGAAAATCAATTTTTAAAAAGTGGTCTCCTCCATCTTCTAAATAACTATTTTAGGAGTAATGTTGGATCAATTCACCCCCACAGTTCACTACGGCAGTGCAGAGCCCCACTACTGAGTGACAGATGGACATGAGGGGCTGCACCACATCATGGTGCCAACAGGTTGGATGTTCAAACCCTGAATCAAAGGGTGATACTGATCCCCCGTAAGACCAACAATCAGCACCACATGTCGACAAACTTCCCAGTTGGTCACCCATCCTTGGGCTTTCTTACCCCGGGCTCGCTTAACTCGAGAGTTCTGTGGTTAAATAGCAGCCATATCTTTTCTTAAAACCAATTGGTGATAAGGAAGGGAACACCCTCTATTTAACTCATTACTCTGTAGTCCCCAAGTCAAGGTAGATTTCTGTGGGGCACCCCACAGTTCACTACGGCAGTGCAGAGCCCCACTACTGAGCGGTGGATGGACATGAGAGGCTGCACCACTTTGTGGTGCCAACAGGTTGGGCGATTAAGTCTTGAATCAAAGGGTGGTGCAACTCTCCGATCCCATAAGACCAACAAGTAATTTGGAGTACAAGTACTTTTATCCTTTCACCCAAACACTCTAGTATCTCTGGAGCAGTTAAATCAATTTTAAGAATTAGATTCAAACACCTCTTAATGTTCAACCGTCAATGACACTCTGTTGCATTTCTTCATTTCTTGGTACATGTAGAGAAAAAATGTAAAGGTGTAATACTATTTATAATGTCAAATTATTTTGATCGATAAAAAAGGAATAATTATCGACCATAAACATTCAATTTTTATAAAATTAGAATTGAGAGTGAATATTCTAAAACTGTCCCTAGCTTCAATTCATTCATTTTTTCCTCGAATAATTGTTTCGCAGATTTTGTGATGATAATTTTGTTTGACCGGATCCGTTTCTCTTTGTTCTCAATCAAACAGACAATAGAAACTCATTCGTCGAGAGAAATGAGCAAAGGAAAAATTTCAGAACCCAACGAATTGAAGGGTATTAAAAGGAAGGGCTCTCTAATCGGGAATGCATCTCATATATGTTCACTAGATTGAAGCTCAAGATTCTGATGTGTTAGCAATGACAAAATTGAATTCTAGGGGTAAAATTGTAAAAAAAGATGAAAACAAAAATGGGCAACTTCCTAACAAATGTTATTAATACAAAGAACCCTAATTTAGCTTTCTGACAGGTTTGAAAGTGGGCAGTTGTGTTGAAAAGTTCTCAACCACACCCTTTTCTAGTACTTGAACTAACCCTAATCTCCTCCATGGTAGGCTCAGCTGACATGTTGCCCAAGGAAGAAGACAAGCAATAACAACAACAAATGAAAGCCAAACCTATGACACTGCAGCCTTAAGACATAGAATTGTAAGCAAACAGAAGGATCAAGAAAATGGAAAAGAATTAAATGGAAAGATAAAGTTCACAATCATACATAAAAATGGAAGATATGGGAGTTCTTTTACTTTTTTACTTTTTATCCTTTTAATGCGTTGCAAGTGTTGAGTCATCCCACACTGATCACACGAAGTATGAAAAACGCTAAATCAGTTAAAAACAGACTCAAGAATATGTTTGTTTATTTATTTGTTATTTATTTAATCAAGAACTTGAAAGATGAAGAAGCCAGAAGCAAAGTATAACTCATATAAAAAATTATGAACAAGAAATTAAACCTGTTATTTGCATATTCGTAAAGACGGCCTCGGGTGGAGAAGACGATAAGAGCGACTTCAGCATCACAAAGCACAGATAACTCATAAGCTTTCTTGAGCAATCCGTTACGGCGTTTGCAGAAGGTGACTTGTCGGTTCGTCGTGTTCTCGATCCTCTTTATTTCAATCTTTCCTCTTGCTGTTGTTGTTAGGTTTGCGGGTGATTTCCTCTGCTGTGACAACTCTTCATCCAATTCTTGATTCCCAAAATCCATTGATCTCTTCACCACTTACTTAAATTACATATATACTTTTTTGTTATTCCTTACCTTATCATAACTTAGCTTACAAATATCTATCAAAGCTGAAATAAGTAAAACACAATGTTGCTGGCTAAGCATAAATAGATGTGTTGTGTAAATATAAGTATGTGAATATTATTATATAATTAAAATCATATAGTAATTAACCTTTGTGGTAATTGTTGCTGGCTAGCTGTATGCTGGTGGGAACTGGAGGGTTGCAGAAAATGGAAGTCAGTTGGGGAGGGGAGAAGATATATATTTATAGACACAAGAAATGGACATTCCAACAGCAATGGTCTACTTTTTCTTGTATATATTTATGTCTACACTCTATAGAATACTATGCTACTACACATATTGTATCTCCATCTTTTATGTATATTTATCATCTGTGTGTAGCTGAGCATCCATCCATTATCTGTCCATTTTCTCCAGGTATGGGTAAAAGGGAATGGCGAAAAGGTGATTGAATTGAAGCTAGTTAGGTTCTTTTGGAAAGTGAATATTCCTTTTTATTTTTGGCGTTTTTCTTTGTGATATTTTCAAATAAAGTGAAAAAGTGTTGCTATATTTGGCAGGGTACAGTTCAGCCCATTTCGGGTTTAAATTTTCCAAAACCACTCATTTACGGAGCTTCAACCATCTTGGGTTGACGGGCTGAAAGTCTCATTGAAATTGAAGAAATTGGATTTATTCAATAATCCAATGGAAAATGGATTAGCAAAGATATTGGCTGTGAAAGTTTAGACCTAGTTTGATATTGTTTTCCCTTTTCTATTATCAAGTTTAGACATTTTTAAAATGTATTTGTTTTTAAAAATACATCATAAGAGTAACATAGAAATTGGCTGAATCCGCTGATTCTGCTGAAATTTATGAATTTCTTGCTGAATTGACTGATTCTACTTATTTACAAAGAGAATTAAAATAAAATATTTTATTTACTAAAATAAAGAAAAAATTATATGAAAAGATAGCTAAAATGATCTTATACATTAACTTCAGCCAATACAGCCGGGAAAATAATTAACTTCAACCTTATTTTTTCTCATTATTACACAATTCAACGTGCGAAATAAAAAATTACGTGTTTGGTGAAAAAGTTGGCTGATAAGCTGAAAAATAGGATCACCAAACGAGCTCTTATAGCTAGATCGATGTATAATTTTTAGATTGTCTAATTTGTGTATTTTAAACATTATAAAATTCATGTTTCACTAAACTATCAAGTCTATTTATTGTTTTGTGTGTATAATGTAAAGTGTGTTCAACCTTCACATTTATCGATTACACTAAGAGGCCGTTTGGAAACATCCTTTTTCGGCTTATCAGGCTTATCAGCCAACTTTTTCACCAAACACGTAACTTTTACTTTCGCGCGCTGAATTGTGTAATAAGCAGAAAAAGTAAGGTTAGAGTTACTTTTCTGGCTGTATTGGCTGAAGTTACTGTAGATTTCCATTTTAGTTATTTTTACATATAACTTTTTCTTTATTTTATTAATAAAATATATTTTAAAAATAATTTTTACTTAAATCAGCAGAAACAGCCAAAGCAGCTACTTCAGCCAGAACTTCATAAATTTCAGCAGAATCAGCCAAAACAGCCGATTTTCGTGCTACCAAACGGGCTCTAATATATTGAACCTTAACAATTGATTTATTTACCGGTTAAACAACCAAATTTAAATGTGAGAATAATTACTCCGTATTATGTAGTACTATCTCTGTCCCCTTATGTTTGGGACAAAGGGGCGTGTTGGGTTTTAAGAAAAAGTAAAAATATGTGGTTAATATTAAATTGATAAAGTGTGAATAAAGTAAGAATGAATTGTAGGCACTCAAGTATTACCAAATATGATATGAGACAAACATAATGGGATGAACAAAAAAGTAAAATAGGACAAAGTTAAAGGGACGAAGGGAGTATTAATTAGAAATGAATTGAAAGATAATAGTAGTAAAGAGTATGCAATCTCAGACATGAGAGGAACTGTAGAGAAGCATTTGTTTGATGTATTTTGGAGCTCATGGCCGAGCTAGGGGCACATTAGATATCGCCTTATCTCAAATTTAAAAAATGTTTTATATATTAGTGTAAAAACATTTCAAAATAATCTTAGTACCAATCTAACTCCCCCAGCCTACACCACTGTCCGGACTACATTCTCATTTGATAAATGTGGGAATCAGTCTATTTTAATAGACGGGGACTGATTCCAACACCTCAGGATGCTTCCCTTACTATTGTGATCATGTCACCAAATGTGCTAATTAATTTGGGAAGCTTTTCTCAAATGATGATGCTCTAGCTCCAGAGTTGGCTCGAATGGTTGCATAATCAGAACACGGTCTCACCTTAAACAACGTTAACTCGTTAAGAGATGGAGATAGTTTCTTGTTGGAACCTCTTGTGTTTTAACTATAAGTGGACGTTTCCACGAGAGCTATGTTTGAAATATAAAAACACTCACACAATCAATCAATTAAGAGTTATTTGTTGTGACCATGGTAACCTAGTGAATTGTCTAACAATTCGAATTTAATTGGGAAAATGGAAACTAATAATCCAACCTTTTAGCGGTCTTCTTTTAATAGTCCGACCTTTTCGTTATTCATGAATAATCCAACATTTGCACCTCATCTTCATTCATTGGTCTCTGACCGGTTGATGACCTGCTATTCCGGGTTATTTTCTCATCTCTGCAAACTATTATACCATAAATTCCACCTTTCACAAAGATAATATTTTGCAAAGATAAGAAAATAACTTGGAATAGCAGGTCATCAACCAGTCAAGGACCAGTGAATGAAGATGAGGTGCAAAGGTTGGATTATTCATGAATAACGAAAAGGTGAGACTATTAAAAGAAGACCGCTAAAAGGTTGGATTATTAGTTTCCATTTTTCCAATTTAATTTACTTATCTCAAGACTTTGAGGTGCAATTTTTTAGAATTCATTGTGGTAAACTTGGGATGCTAAAAAGTAAATGCTTCCCATATAAAGTTGTCATCATATCATGAAATGTTCAAAAACCATATACTCGTAACTCTAGGGGTGAGAACCTCACGTTCTTTTGGGTACGCTCGAGATTTAGGGTTCTGGTGAATTCTGAAAATTCACCCATGGTTCAAAACTTTTCCCATGGGGGAATCGGTCCGAAAATAATTATTCGAATGTTTATTACTGTTGGTGAAGATGTGAGATGACGCAGATGAAGAGTGGCATGTGATGTCCTTCTCAAGTCTCAACACCTCCCATAACTGAGTTCATTTATGGTAACGCCAGCCTACTTCATCATACACTTTTAGCTCCATCATCTTTGAGTAATTGAGTATAGGCCCATACGGCGGCCATACGTGCAAATGTGTAAGATGTTTTTACTGTAATTTGCCGGTCTGATCTGGTTTAATTTGGTCAGGTCTGATTTTTTTTTTTGTATTTTTATAACTATTCAAGTTTGATTTTATTTTGTCTGGTCTTGACATATTATAATCCAAGTGAAAACATCCTAATACGTGGGTCTCTTTTTGGGGTTTTAATGTGTCAAATCCAATCTCACTATAAATTAAGCTCATTAATCTTTTGATTTAGAAAATGCGTCAAATCTCAAAATCTCCTCATTGAATAATTTTGGGAAAATTACTATTAACCCCCTAAGGTTATGTCAAAATTGTTAATGCAACCTTGCATTTTCAAAAATTAATTAGTTACCCTCTCACCTTTGATCATTCTCACTGTACGCCCCCTCATGTTGATATTTGTTCAATTAAATTTAGAATAACTCTTAAAATCAATGAATATTGTCTATAAAATTAAATTTTAAAAGTAAATTACAGTTTGTTATCATAATTATAAATCATTTTTCTTGATCTTCATTTTTGTACTTAGCTACTCAATCACGGAATAAAAAATATTAATGAAAGTAGCTAAGGTAAAAGACACATGAGCTGAGTAATATTCATGAGATATATCAAATAAAATTGTTTGAAATATTGACATATTGTGATTGGAATTCTAGACACCTCTTCATCATGAATATCAAAGTCTTATTTGTAATTCATCCGGCTACATTAATCTCAATGACAATTCTTTCGTGTGTAGCAAAGATGAAATACCAAGAAAAAAAGGAATTTTATCAACCAATGACCTAAAAGATTGGTTTAGTATTAATAACGACGAACCTAAAATACAGAATGTTGGTCTGAATAATTGTAAGTTGTCAATCTATCTAAGACCTGACATATATATCATAGATTTTGTTTTTTTATTAATTCTATTACTAATTTTTTATGATTTTTCAAAAACTTTATTAATTAGTTTAATATGATTAAATGATATTTACTTTTTAAATTAAAAAAGATAAAATTCGTGATATTTTATATCTTTTTCGTGAGTCTTCTCGCTTAATAACATTCATTAAATTTATTCTATGATCAGGTAGATAAGAAGAAAATAAGGATCAACAACAATGACTTATAATTATGATATTAAATTGTATTTTACTTTAAAGTTTAATTTTATAGACAACTTTGCTTAAATTTAAAAGTTATATTAAATTTAATATAACAAATAATAAGAAGAGGGGGCAAACAGTGATAATGATACAAACTCAGGGGTTAAGTAATTGATTTTTGAAAATGCAAGGTTGAATTAATAATTATGGCCTAACTTCAGGGGGTTAATAGTAATTTTCTCAATAATTTTTTATCAAATAAAAGCAAAATGATTAGTAATTTTGTATAATTAAGAGATATTTTTAGAAAATTGTTAACATATGTTTGCAATGTAAAAAAAATTGAGTTCTGGCATTGTTTAAACTATAAAATTTACTTAACATACTTTGTATGATGATAAATAGTCTAAGATTAAAAAATAGTGAATTTAATTTATTAAAATTATACAAGACCAAATAATGTTATTTCAAGAAAATCAAAAAAATGTAATATTGTGTTATTTTTGTACCTTTTAGATTTCAGGGTCATATCTGCACCTGCATATATACTACTCCCTCCATCCCAAAAACTAGTTACAAAATAATATTTAATCTCATTTTCAAAATAATCCAATAAGGAAAGTTCCAACTCCAGAATATATATTTAGATATTCACAACAAATTATACATTTAAAAATATATAATTTATCTCAAAACAATCTTCACAATTTTCTAAGTCAACATGACAATTTCTCACAATTCACAATTTCGACTATGGTAAATAAAATATTCAATTACTCAAAATCTACAAGTTCCAAAATTCCCAGAAAATTGTATCATACTCAAACAAGTTCATCATAGCCGAATCACACATAAAATTTCATAAAGAAACTCTAATCATAGCACAAACCCTAATCAATAGAAGTTTTGGAGTCAAACCTAGCTTGTGGAGTCACTCACACATCCCTAGGAATTTATAGGGTTGAAGGATCATAATAATTTTGGAGAAAGAAATCAAGAAAACGGATGAACGATGCGAATAAGGCAACAAAATGCTTACCGGTAGATTGGATTGTTTGATCTCGTCCTTGTACTAAAAAATCGTGTTGGATATGATAATATTGAAGTTCTAGAAGAGATAGAGCTTGAAGAGGCGGTTCTAGGGTTTTTAGAATGAGGAAAATCGGATTAGGGATGTATATATAGTGAATTTCAAAAGTTGGGTCGTATATATTAGGATAAAATTAGGGACGCACGATCGTGCGTAGGGAGGCACGCTCAGAGAGTTGATCGACTCGATCTACTTCGGTGGAAGCTTCTGTTTGGAATCTGTATTCAAGCTATATATGTGTTT